ATTTAAAATAGATTTAAGATCTTTAAGATTTTTTTTTTGAAATTTATAATAATATTTTACATTATTGAAAAGGTTTATTCAAAGATTTCGGATGAAGAATTCAATTTCTTTGAAATTCGGGGCTTAAAATTCGAGGGAATTGTTTGTTCAATACAAGCCCTAAGATTCTCCAATCCCTTAATTCCTTAAAGATTTCTTCATGGCAAAATCCTTAAAAATCCCCATAATCCCAGCCTCCTACCATAAGCCAAAGGAGAGAGGCTACCAACCGTCGCAGGGCTAATTTGCCTTTTCTGTCTTCTGCTTTAAAGGATGCACACAGATTTGCGTACCAAATGATGATAAATAACTATAAATATTAAATGCTATGTCTATGCCCAAGTAGGTGAGGTGCTAAGCAAACACGTGCCAAACCTATGTACGCTTTTGTATTCAATTCTGTTTTCTAGCTTTCCTTATTGCTCCTCTCTTCCACTCTTTCTTCTTTCTTTCCATCTACTCATCGTTCCTCCTTCCTTCTCTCCTTCGATTCATCCTCCGTCCTTGTGCTTTCCTGCCCTTTTTCCTTGCGTCCCCGTTTCCATGGCTTTTTCGGAGTGCGGTTGAACAGCTGTTGCAACCCCAAGGAAACTTATTCAGTCGTTTGAGGTCTTGTTTTGAATCCATCTTGTGAAGGCTCCGTTTTGGGGGCGTTATACTGTATTATGTTCAGGGGTTTGTGAGAAGCATTCGTGTGCGCAGCAGCAGTGTGAACCGAAGGGCATTCAGTCAAAATCCGAGTGTATTGATTGGAGTCAGCACGTTTGGACTTCGACATGTCTTTGCAAACCACTCGTTCATCAGAGTTTGTACAATCAACATGTCAAAGCGATCAAATCTGACCAATTGCGATGACCACCAGTTAGCCAACACCCGGAATTGCGCAATCTGTCGCAAAGGCAATGGGGCGGTAAAAATCTCTGTTTGAAGCTGATTTTGGGTATCTAGGAGACCAGAAACTAACAATCGAGGTGTGACATTTGGATCCCTCTCAGCAATGTCACCCTACTTGCGACATCATGGGATGTCAGAACGGCAAACTGCAGGAAGACTGAGTGGCTAAAGACCCTCGAGAAACCCACTGAAGAGTAACAAGGGGGTAGCTTGTCTACTGTCGGACTGTTCTGTATTTGCTGGACGAAGCAAACCATTGTAGAACAGTTTCGGATGGCTTAAAACCAATACTGCAAGGCAAACATGTCAGAATGCAATGTAAAACTGAAAGATGTGGACATAAATAAACATTTTTTTTGAACACCTGCAGAGAAGTAAGGCGATTGCCTTTCATCACATTGCACCTTTAGCTGCGCAACGAAGGCTTGGAAACTTTGCCCAAACCAATCGAACACGTCAAACGCCACATTAACTGTGAAACAAATGGAGCTGCAAATTGATGCAGATTGTCAATCTCTCAGAGTAAAATAGCCACATTTTAAACCTGTAGCACCTCAACACAAATAATAAACGTTTAGGAAACAAGATCCAACTGAGTCACGCCTGTGGGCCAAGGAATTTGATTGCCAAACTTCGTCAGTTTGCTTTTCCCAACGTATGCCTGCTCTAGATCTTCGACGATTTGGCCAACGGCACATTGTGCCGAAGGATACCTGGCTGCTTTACAGTGCAATCCTTCAATGTCTCAACTAGAATCCGCTAATTGAGGCTCCGACAATGAGTGGATCAGGACCGCCTCACAGGAGTTTGTTTCTGAAAGGCTAATTTTGAGGTGGACATTGTGCACAAACTGTGACCCCTGCGCCGCCCGAGACCAATGTGGCATTCACCTGTCGCGATGTCTGCATGATCCAGCCAATGTGCGTGAATATCTTCCACGTGGAAGTGTCTTGACTTTTTAAGGCTTGATCCTGTGCCAACAAAATAGCAACCAACATTTTCCTCTGTTGCCACAAAGGGTTGCAAAATCTTTTCACACGGCCCCTTCCGTCGTGGAACAGACAAAACATGCAAAATTGAGTGTGCGGCAAAACAAACCGAATAGTTTTTCACAGCCAACATGGTGGACTGTACCTTCTTTAGGTGTCAGCCCCGTAAAAAATTTCCAACGCCTAGCCAACCTGCCGGAGTGACCACCAAAGACGAACTCCCTATGATCACAACTTCCCCCGCGCACCTGCCAAGGGCACTTGCAATGCAAACGCAAAAAAACGCATATCAAATTCATCAAGTCTCCATGAAGTTCGAATTTGCTGGTTGAAACATAATTTTGGTTTTTTAGCTCCTGCTTGGTTGGCCTGCAGCAAAGACCACTTTGAGAATGTATGATGTCCAATTCTACACATCGCTTTGCACACTGAACCCTTGCTATCCAAGGTTCTTCAAAAGCGGCTGCGCTCAATCACTAAAGGTTTGGGTCCGATGAACTTGAATGCTGAATTAGTGACCTTGGAACTTCTTGGGCCCTTGTATGCCGCCCTCCCGCGAGCAACGTTCTTCTCACGCGCTGCTGTTTGTTTGACTCATCAAGGCTGGAGGAGCATGCGGAAGAAAACTAGGCTTGGCAAACCTTTCTCCACATCCTGCCTTTGTGCTCCACTTGCTCTGCTCATCCACCTCTGGAGCTTTAGTAGCTCTCCCTCAAAGCTAAGTCCACCTCCTTATTTTCGCGTGAGGGCTTCTGGCCAGAAGGGGTATGAACACCTTTAACTTCGGTTGGGATGAACCTCTGCGGACCTGCCCACGAAATTATGGTTCCTGCTAGTTCCTAGGCGTCGGATCGCGCTTCCTACTTGGGGCTTTGACCAGCATCATCCGCAAGTCTTGAGCAGCACTTGCACGCATGCGCTTCAGGCCGCCAATCTTTGCAGCTATCAGAGTTTTGACTTCTCCGCGTCTTCCCCCCGCGGAGGGATCTACATCATCAACAATGCATTTTCTGAACCTAACCACGTTCCAGGCGATCCGGATTGGTGGAGCGTCAATCCGAAACACCCTGACCTTTCTCATTGAGAGTCACAGATATGGACCTTTATGGAGTATCTTTGGCGGAAATGCTCCTCAAGCTTCGAGAAAGGTTTCGCTGAAACCTTTTCCTGGTCGAGCAGATTTCACGAGCGCTTCGCTGCTTCTTTCTTTCGCGATGCGGTGGCTTGTGACACGCAGGGCTTGCGTGAATCGCGCGTCGAGGATTGCGAGCTGCTTCCGCGCGATGTAGCGCCGGACATTCTTGGAAAAGAGGCAATCGCAGCGCGTTCCACGCAAGCGGGATGTTCCTAATCTGCACGCGTTGGCAACGGGCGTGTTTGCCCGAGGTCTGTGGAAGAGCGCAGGATGAACAAGCGGCGCTCGTAGCCAAGCAACTCACGCCTATTCTGTGCACGCGCGCGTGCACACACGCACACACAGTCACTCACTCACTCACTCCCTCCCTCCCTCCCTCACTCACTCACTCACTCACTCACGCAACCACGCACGCACGCACGCACTCACTCACTCGCTCGCTCACTCACTCACTCACTCACGCACGCACGCACGCACGCACGCACGCACGCACGCACTCACTCACTCTCTCGGCCATTGAGGAGATGGCGAGCTCTTACTGCTGCTTCCATTGCGTTGTTGGGTATCAGCTTGTTGCGTCAACAATGCCATATGATGTGCATCTTTTTCAAGCCAAACGTGATCCACATCATGTACACATGTTGTAGATGGTTTCTGTGTTGCTGCGGCCTGGCTGGTTTCAAGTGGCACGGCTTCTGCCAGCCTCGTTAAACGTAGTCTTGCCCTTCCTTCCGCCCTTTTCTGTCATTGTCATATTCTCAATGATATCGATATCGATGATTTTGCCGTAGCAAGCTTGGTGGTGGACGCGCGCAAACGCGATGAGTATGAGGGTGAATCTACCACACTAGTTTCCCTCCCTGTGCGCTGCTAGCTTCTGTTGCCAGGTGCAGATGGCCCATGCAAGGGGGCAGGCCCAGATTATGAGCTCTAAAACACTGGGGATGGAAGCTTTGTGGTTGAGAAATTGCTTCCGCTAGGCCTTAGGCCTGCGCATATCCCTGGTAACTGGGTCACGTAGATTAGTTTCGCGGGCGCGCCGCGAAAGAGAAGGTTTGATGGCCTCTTGACCCAGGAAGCCGCTTGCAGATCTGGCGCGCGCCGCTGTGAAAGGGAAGCGGCGCCCTCAGCTCTGATATCAATGAAACTTTTGGTGAACACGCGGCTTGGCCAAAGCCAAGCCCTGAGACCCACTGGCGGTCGCTCCAAGCTGCAGCCAGTGGCCGCTCGAAGTGAAATTGCTCTCCGCGTGCGTAGTAGAATGCTTTGCCCCGCCCAATCCGCAGGCTCACCTTGTCGCGATCACCATGCATCACTCGCGCGCAATCGAAGAGGCATGAGGCCTTTCAGCAAAGCCGCCCCCCCAAACTGCAATGTCCATTTCACAATGCGAGCGAATGGGGCCTTGAACTGACAATTTGCAATCAGAGATGATACACCAACCGCGCTTCAGTCCTCAGCGGCCTGGCCGTTTGAAACGAGCTGACTCCTCCTCCAACCGATGGCAATCCTCAATCCTTTGTTCGGCCGTGCGCCAAGAACGCCTGTGCTCGTACTGCTCCAACTCCTCCACCTCCTCCTGCCCCCGCAAACCTGCTGCTGCTGCTTTCATGTTGCTCTCAGCAAAAAAGCTGGCTTTCGTCCAACATGCCTGGGGCATGACCTGCGCAAAGGCGTTTCTTCCCTCCCCAGCCGCGCCCCCGGATACAGGAGTGGGGGGCGCCCGCTCCCACTTCCAAACCAGGCCAAAACTTCACAGCCACAGTTCGCGCGTAAGACTGCCAGCAGCAGGAGACACATATGTAACGTTACGCAACTAGATTTCGCACCTACCCATCCATCTGTGTGAATCAGGTAGAGGCACAGCCTCAGCAGATGTGCGTTTTTGAATCGCTATTGTCCATTTGCACAGTCTGTCTTCTTAGGGTCTGACTCCCGTTTCGTCAGCAAGATTGCAATAACCTGCCACAGCCCAACGCTCAACTGCCTGCAAACTCTAGAACTGTTTATTAAGAAAACTCAAGCAAGTCTGCGCGACACCCCTTCGGCCTCGCAACGGCAACTTGGCGATCTTCGGACTTCAAAAAGCACAACTAGACGACCGTTGGCCCGAGAGCGAGAAAGGTGATTGTCAAGCAATTCCAAGTAAGGAAATAGTTAAAATCGAGTTGTCCAAGAACCATGACTTCTTTATACAATCTGTTATTGAGTAAGAAGTTGTGAAGAATAAATTAAGATTAAAGTACTATTGAGAGAAAAGATATGTAGAAAGAGAGAAAGAGAGGGCGGATGTGAAGGAGTGACAGTGTGGATGTGCAGGTGTGATATAGATGTGCAGATGTGTGGAGGTAGAGAGGTAGATCTGCGGATGTGAGCGTGTGAAGATGCAAATGTACAGAGGTGAGGGTGTGTAGACGTAGATGCGCAGATGCAACGGCAGCGCAATGTTGTGGGTCAGGAGCGCCAACCTTGGTGCATTTCTCGCCGTGCAAGCGCAACGGTGAAGAGGTTCGAATCTGTGGTTATGAAACGCGCGCAAATGCCCAGCACGTCGGGCTTGTTTTTCTTGGGCCAAAAAACGTAGTACACTTCTCGATTTATGCAATCGAGTGGAATGCAATCGAGCGGAATGCGACTCACACTCCACCTGGCTTTCTCAAAGCCACCCGAGCGCCATTGGTAGGTTTTTTCGTCTACCGCTGGCTGACCTCGAAAAAACTGTCCTCTGACTCGGACGAGTCTTCACGAACCCTTGAGGTTCCAGAAAAACCGCGCCGCGGCTCCCAAGGGCTCATAGATTGAGGCCTCACTGGCGCTTGCGTCATGATGCCCATCCATGTTGGTGTCTCTTCTTCACGACCTTCAGGCTCTTGCACCTCATGATCAGGGCCACGATAATCTTCTCCGCGAGGCGGAGCTAAAGTGTTTTGCGCAATTCTCCAACCCCGTGCTGTCATTCCGTCCAAGGATGGCGGTTCATCATCAGTCTCACTTGCCAGTGATCTCCTCCAGTCCGCTCGCTCGGCTTCACCCGTCATGTCCCGCATAATGGCCAGCCAGTCATCGCGTTCATCATCGCTCTGAGTGGTGCCGTCATGTCCACTTGGACCTTGTGCCCAGTAGGTAGCCGGGTCGTAGCCTTGATCTTCATCCACATAAGGCAAATCTCGTGGCTTAGCAGAGATCACGGAACCTTCCATTTCTCCTCAGTGTAGATGGCCACGTAGTCGCTGCTCATAGCCCCCCAACGCGCTGATCCCACCTTCAGTCATCATTGAACTCCGGTCCGATGTGGTTCCCAGAGAATCCGATTCGGCCCTTCCTCGAACATAACGCACCTCCCGGAGCAGCTCTTCCGATGGTTGACCATGCTCCGCAATGCCCGGCATTGGCGGTGGCCCAGATGTCACAGGACTGCTCATTGAGGACGACGTTCGATCCCCTTGGCCCTTGGTAGTCGATGAACTGGGCGTCGAATTCAATGTACCTGCCGTCGCCTCCGTCTGGATCTCCCGAAAGAAGGTATACCACCCAGGCATCCCTCACCGGTGGCTGGTCGTCGTTCGCCAGTCATCGTCTCGAATCGTTCGCTCCCCATGGCACCAAATCACCGTGATCCGTCGGTCTTGGATCTGGCTGCAATCAAAGGGAGTCTGTCGATGGACAGGATGAAACGGCCTCTCCCGCTGCCGTACATGATGCCGCTCCCGGACCCACCATCCTCCAAAAAAACGATCCCATCGATCTCGGCCCTGTGAAGGCAAGGTGAACCGCCTCCAAGTCCAAGGTCTGTTCCCATCGCTGGTAGATGAAAAAAACCCCACTGCCGACGAAGGCCCAGTTCCAAGTGCCGCCTCTACCGCAAAATCCCGGGAGCCCCCAGGGCTAGGTTCTGAGACCGGTTCTCCTTCTGACCCATCACCTCCAGTGCAGTGCAGGTGGGTTCATCTTCCCTCACCTGGTGTTGTTGTCCGTACGGTGGATCTGCATAATCGCCTCTTGGTGGCCCAGTGGCTCTCTCTCTCGAATCACAGCCGGCTTTCCAGCAGGTGGCTAAGCTAGCTACCATCGCCGCCACGGCCAGGCCTTGAGCCGCCCTATACCGGTAGACCCCGACGGTCGCCAGGCCAAAACCCCTCGCTAATCTGGCAACTTTGGACCCTAAGCCCTCAGAAGAAGCTTCCACCACAGGCTTCATCCCCATCGCCGCAAAGAAGTGCTGCCATCGAGCTGCCACTCCAATCGGTTTGGTCAGAAAATCTGCCACGAGATGCTGACCAGGGATGTGCACCGCCTCGTGATGTCGCAGTGCCATGCGGATTTGCGCGGCCTTGGCGGAAAGTGCGTTTGCGCGGCGCCGTGCCACCGGGGAGCGCGAAACATGCGCAGCGCGTCGCTGGTGAGCGGGATGATTGGCGGTATCGTGTGATATGATTGTTTGTAGTGTGTGGGCAGAACGTGTGGCGAAAATACGTTCGTGATGTCGCAGTGCCACGCGGATTTGCGTGGCCTTGGTGGAAAGTGCGTTTGCGCGGCGCCGTGCCACTGGGGAGCGGGAAACATGCTGGTGTAAACGCGGCGTTTCGCTGGTGAGCGGGATGATTGGCGGTATCGTGTGATAGGATTGCTTCTAGTGTGTGGGCAGACCGTGTGGCGAATTACATCCGTGAATGTCGCAGTGCCATGCGGAGTTGTGCGGCCTTGGTGGCAAGTGCGTTTGCGCGGCGCCGTGCCACTGAGGAGCGCAAAATCATGCTGGTGTAATAGACGCGGCTTGTCGCTGGTGAGCGGCATGATTGGCGGTATCGCGCGATAGGATTGCTTCTGGTGTGTGGGCAGACCGTGTGGCGAAATTACGTCCGTGATGTCGCAGT